CTCATTCCAGACAAACTGGTCTGCTATTTTCCTTACAAAGCATTTTATCTCCTGCCTCCACGGCTTTCCACAAGTGGTCCACTTGTCTGATATACACTTCCCTTCTTCACCTCTTAGGAAAGAGCCCTATTTTCCTTCAAAAACACCACTTAGGTTGTTACCTCCCACAAAACCAGTCCTCTCTTCTGTTGAGATTACTTTGTATATGCTTTGTATTTACCCATTTGTGCACATACTGTATCCTTCCCAGTATAATGGGAGCTCAATGAAGGCAGGGATCATTTCTTTTTGAGTTTAGAAACACAATGTCTTAAAACTAGCGGGTACTTAATAAATGCTGAATTTAACTGAAACAAAGAAAAAGTTCAGTCTGAAAAGATAGCCTCTGCTCCTCACAAAGCCTCACATACCATCAATTTAAACAATTGATAAGTAACTTGTTTTCTATCAAGGCACAATCTCTACCTCAGGAGACCAGCTGAGCCAGATTTAGAAAAATCATACTTCACATGTATACCAGAAAATGACAAAAGTTCAGAGGCAGGGTTTGTCCTTTTGTGGTTTCTGAAGGGAGCAGTGTTCAATTCTACAGTTCTATAGGCCTCTGTCAAAGCAACTAGATTCCAGACCACCTATGCTCATTCTACATACCTTACCAGAACTGACTTGTGGCTGATTAACTCGTCTCAATACTCTTCCTTACTACCTCCCCTTCCCCAGCTCCTTCCTGGGACCTCACTGCTCCTGGGTACTCTAACACTTCTGAGAGTGACAAAAACCCAAATTCACCATACCTCATATCACTGAATTCTGGGCAATGTGGAAGGCACCTCCCTTCTTTGCTAGACAACAGGGTTAAGTGACTTGCCCAGGGTCACGCAGCTAGTAAATGTTGTGTCTGAGGCCAGATTTGAACTCAGGTACTCCTGAATTCAGGGCTGGTGCGCACCACCTCGCTGCCCCTAGCACTTCCCTTCTTACAGCACTTAATCTGCCTTTCTTTGGGGTGTTGTTGCAAACCTAGACTATGAGCCTTAGAAGTGGGATTTTTCTGATAGCTATGGCATCGCTGAAGCTCACTCAATGTTTATTAACAACAATTAACATTTACATAGTGCTTTAAGGCTCGAAAGATACTTTAGATACATTATTTCATTTGATACAACAACTTTGTAAGGTAAGTACTATAGGTATTATATCCATTTTACAGACGAGGAAACTGAGGCCCAGAAAGGTTAAGTGACTTGTCCAACGTCACAAAGGTAGTAAACAGGGTCAGGATTCAAACCCAGGTCTCTTAGTTCCAAATCCAGTGTTCTTTGTATTACACCAGGCTACGTCTCATTAGAAATAATAAATCAACTGTGAAAGACTTAGTAACTCTGATCAATGCAATGATTCACTAAAATTCCAAAGGACTTACGATAAAAAATGTTCTCCCCCTCCATACAGAAAACTGATGGGCTCAGAGTACAGACTGAAGTATTATTTTAAAAAATATATTTTTTTCAGAACATAGTTCACATGGAAATGTTTTCCATCACTTCACATGTGTAATGTATATTGTATTTATAGAACTCTCAATAGAAGGGGGAGGAGGTAGAGGGAGGAAGAGAATTTGGAACTGAAAATAATTTTTTCTTTAAATAATGATATCTCAAAAGGTACTGCTAAACAAGACTTGTTTCTTTTTGATTCTTAGTTTGTGGAGGAAGCAGATAAAGGAATCTTCATGATACAAATACCTCCATCCTAGAGTACCTAGATCCCTTGACTAGCTGTGAAGCAACAGGACTAGCAGGATTGGCAGGCTCAACAATCTGAATGAAATACGATTAAGTATCCCTTTCCCCCATTAAAGTCCTACTCTAATACCTCATTGTGTACAGGTCACCCTGAGATCTACAAATCTGTACCAGCAGAAACAAGCTCTGGCATGTCCACCTAGGAGATAAATGTGGACCCAATGGTATTGTGTATGTCCCTATAGTCTAAGTTCAGAAAGGCATATTTTTAGAACACTGGTGAATTTTTGACCACAGCAACTGAAAAAAAGACCAACTTTTTTGGAGAGGCTGCAATCTGTGGAGAAAGCATTCACACCACTGAAACCACAGATTCTTCACATATTCTTTTAATCTGTCATAAATATTTATGTCACATGAGGATTAGTTGAGATTTCTCTAGCCTAGAGAAGACTTGGAGATAACAGATAGCTGTATTTAAGTACCTGAAAGACTTGTTCTCTTTTGCACCATGAAGCAGAAACAGAAGCTGCAGATGTAAATTTATAAGGAAAAACTTCCTAATAATAAGCACTCTCTAAAAACGGAAGGAGCTGTCTTGGGGAATAGCAGATATTTCCTACCCCCTTCCCACTCCCACCCCCCAACTGTAGAGAAAAAATGTAAAGCACTACAAAGATCAGGACACCTTGTCAATGTTAAGGAGTGAATATCAAGTAACTAGCTAAAGAGTTCTCAAGAGATCATTTAATCTACTACCCTTCCCCCACATACCTATAGATGGCAATGCATCTCATTCCAGACAGAGCATCACTGCCAGCCCATTCTCTACAGAAAGACGAAATAACTGATGTAAAGAGAAAGAGCCTGGACTGGAATGCTGGCCCTGCTACCTTGCCACCTGACAGATCTCAGCAGAGGCATTCCACAACTGTAAGACTGCTTCCTCCCTTATATAATGGTGATAATAGACTAAAATCCACCTGCAGACTCTGGAAAGACATGCATGGAGCAGCCAGTTTCCACCAAGTCCCTATTCCCAGCTAGCTACACTACTGAATTAGGGGAACTTTCCCTTGGGTAAGATCCAGGACTGTCTCTTGGTTAATGTGAGTTATCTTGCTCCCAATGGGAAAGCTCTTTCACCCGATCATTATCTAGTATATATCCCCCTATGCATCCCTTCTCTGATTTCTGTTTTGCTGTGATATGGATAAATGGGTTGCTTTGCTTTCAAAAAAAATTAATAAAATAAAATAAAACACGCCTGCTTTGCACACCTTAAAGTATTTTGCTTTTGTTTTACATTAAAAAAAATTTAGACCACAATGATTTCTCTTTCCCTCAGTACTAAAAAGTAGTGTGGTACAGCAGAAACAACAGTGGATTTGGAAAGAGGCCTACATTCAAATTATAGCTCTCCTAATGGCTCCCTATGAAATCTGGGGGAAGTTAACTCCACCCGTTCAGGCTCACTTTCAGCTGTAAAATGAAAGAGTTGGACTAAGTCAGGATTTCTTAACTTCAGAACATTTTAAAAAATTATTCTGATAACTATTTCAATATAATTGGTTTCCTTTGCAATTCTATTTTATTTTATGCATTTATAAATATTGTTCTGAGAAGGGATTCATACCTTTCTGTCAAAGGAGACTGCAACAGCCTCTGATGGATCTGCCTGCTTCAATTATCTCCCCACCCCAATCCATTCTCCATTCAGCCACTAAAGTGATTTTCCTAAAGCATGTTACCCCTCTACTCAAACTCTAGTGGCTTCCTATAACATCCAGGATCAAATACAATGTGCTCTATTTGTCATTCAAAGTTCATCATAACCTAATTCCTTCCTACCTTTCCAATCTTTTTACACCGTACTCTCCAACACCTCGATCCTGTGGCATTGGCCCCCTCCTGGCTGTTCCACGAACAAGAAACTCCATTTATCAGCTGGGGGTATTCTCTCTGGCTGTCCCCCATGCCTGGAACCCTCTCCCTCCTTTACTTGGGCTACTGATTTCCCTGGCTTTCTTTAAGTCCCAACAAACATCCCACCTTCTACAGGACACCTTCTCTGATCCCCCTTGATTCCAGTACCTTACCTCTGTTAATTACCTCGTATTTATCTTGTATATAACTTGCTTTTTATATATTTATTTCCATTTTTCCATTAGACTGTAAGTTCCTTGATGTTAGGCACTGTCTTTTGCTTCTCTTCATATTCTCAGTGCCTGGCAACGATTAGGCACTTAAATGTTTATTGACTGACTGAACATCACACAAAAATTAGACAGCTAGGTGATGGAATGCTGTAACTAGAGTCAGAAAGACATGAATTTAAATCCTCCTGCAGACCCTTAATAGCTATGATCAATGACTTTCTTCCAACCTCACTTTTCTCATTTGTAAAATGGGGATATTAACAGCACCTACTTCACAGGATTGCTGTGAGGATCAAACAATCAAGTAAAGTGCTTTGAAAAACTTAAAGTGCTATATAAATGTTAGCTCTTATTAACAATCATAAACAGTCAAGAACTCTAGTCTCTTTTGGCCCTAGTGCCCCAAGTCGTTGACGGAAGGAGGTTCTAAAATCTCCTTTTGTACAGAGGAAGAGAAAGCCCTAAATGGGGGGGGGGGCCGGGAAAGGAGGGAAAGACACCGGGAAAAGAAAGTGTGATAACTAGGACGGGAATGGAATGGACTGGAAGGACATGGTGTTTAATTAAATGGGGGAAGTTCAAAGAGCTTTAAGAGAACCTTACAGATCATCAATAGGATCAGAGATTAGAGCTAGAAGGCGCCTGAGAGTCTATCATTTTGCAGAAGCTCCTTAAACATCAAGTGACTCTCGCACAGGACACCCGGGTAGGGCAGGGGTTCAAACCCAAGACCCCTGGATCCCAATGGCAAGGCTCTTTCCGCTGCACCCTGCTGATGACAGCACTTCGAAATGGAAGGGCGCTGCCTTGTCATTTCGACTTTCTGAGCCTTGGTTTACCCAACTGTAAAAGGGGCGGGTCGGCCTCTCGTATCTCCGGGAGACCTCCCAGCTCTAGGTCTGCCAAAGGGAGGCCGGCGGAGCCAAAGGCAGAACCTCGAGAGGACCGGCGGCCCGCGGGAGGGCCCGGCTCACTAGGGGCCGAGCGGGAGAAGGGGCGGCGAGAGGCGCTGCCGGTGGCGACCGAAGCGGGCCTTCCGGGCTCGTCGTGAACCGCGGGCGGGGACGGGAGAGGGGGCGCGGCCTCGGCCTCTCACCTTTCTCACGGCCGGCTGGAAGTTGAAGTCGCCGGCCTCCTTCAGGTCCAGCCAGATCATGGGCATGCGAGGCACGGCCTCCATGGCTGGTCGGGGTTGGGGACCACTCCCCTCGGGCGCCGGGGGCGGGGGCAGAAGGGTGGGGTTGGGGGGGGGGGATGTACCAGTCACTGACCTGGAGAGCCCACCCACCCGCCTCAGCCTCGAGCCCAGGGCAGAGGAGCTCAGGCGAGCCTAAGCCAGCCGCACCACTCCCCACCACTCCACGCCACGCCGGAAGTCATGCGGAAAAGAAGAGGAAAGAGCGCTCGCTGGGCCAGCTGGGAGATGTAGTCTTTGTTGGCTTCCGCCAATGCCTTCTCAGAGCGCATGCTCCGGCCTGACCAGACTGCTGAGCCACGCCCCTGGTGACAGGCTTGTCAGCTGGAGGAATCGCGGGCAGAATCTCCCAGTCTGAAGGGCCACGCCCCATAATCGTATGACAGAGAAGTGGTCATCCAGCCTGTACCCCTTAAAGGGAGGGCTCACCACCTCTGAGCAGCCCATTCCATTTGGGGACAGCTCTACTGCTTAAAAGTTTTTCCTTGATACCAAGCCTAAAAATTGCGTCTTTACAACTTCCGCCCATTACTTCAAGCTGTGTCTTCTGGAGCTGAACACAACAAATCTAATCCTCTAATCCCACAGAACAGCCCTTCAAATATCTGCATGGCTATCGTGTCCATCTCTGGGCTCCAGGCCTGGAATGCTCTCTCTCCTTCACTCTTAACTGCTGACCTCCCTGGCTTCCTTTTTTATTTATTTTTTATTTTTTTTGTCCCAACAAAAATTACACCTCCTACAGGAAGTCTTCCTCAACCTTTCTTAATTCCAGTGCCTTCCTTCTGTTAATCATTTCCTATTTATGCTGCATATATAGCTTGCATTGTATATATTCGTTTGCATGTTGTCTCCCCAATTAGATTGTAAGCTCATTGAGGGCAGGGACTGACTGGCCTCTTTTTGTACCCCAAATGCTTAGCACAGTGCTATGAAGGCACATAGAAGGTGCTTAATTTTAATTTATTGAATTTATTTTTATAAATAGATTTAATTTATAAAATTGAAATGTCCCACTTGAGTCATCTCCAGGGTAAAGCATCTGTAGTTCCTTTAAACAATTTTCATATGACATATGACTCATATGACTCATAAGGCCTTTAGCTTATCTGATAGCCTTTCTCTGCTTACTCATTTTTTCCAGATCTAGTATCCAGTATTTTTCTAGAGATAATCCAGTATTATCAATGTCCTTCCTAAACTGTGGCACTGGAAACTGAATATAATTGGACAGGTGTGGTCTGACCAAGGTGAATATAGAGGGAGTTTTCCTCACCCTTATTCTAGGAGGATCAAGGAAATGGGATTCTACAAAGTGAAGGTGCAGAGGGGCTACATTTTAGTGTAACATGGTTTAACTCTGGCCCCACTGTCTGAAGGCCAGGCCTGTGACATTTTACTCCCCCATCAATAATCTCTAGTACTCTGAGGGATTTGGGGAGTCTCTTTTCTCTGCTATTGGTTTGAACCCCCTACTGATTGTATTCGCCCAATTTTAGAGTCCCAATGACTAACACTCCATTTCCATTTAAACACTTAGCATTGGATAAAGTTTTACAAAGGTTTACTCCAAAAATATAGCAGACAAACATAAAGACATTGCCCCCCAACGTTTCAAGAATATAATTTCCCCTTACATAACTTAGGTCTCTGGGGAGGGTAAAGGGATTAAGTTCACTTCCTACTTAGTAGTAGTGCCACCAAGTGTGAGTCCAAAACTCCACTGGATTACCATCCCCCGACCTTTGTACCTCATAGGTTCCCTGCTGGGCTGGCTGCAATAGTTACCTGGCTTCCCGGACTCCCAGATTCCTGTGGCTTGATCTACCTGGTTAGAGACTCCTCTCTCTGTACTTAGAATGGAAAAGAATGAAGGAAAAGGCCAAAACCACAAGCCTATTTTTTGGACCCACATGGCTAAAAGTGGGAGAAGATGGAGAAGGAGATGAAGGAAGCCTTAGAGCCTTTCCCCTTTACTACATGCTCTCACCCACTCTGAATAAAAGAGCACTTTATGCTCAGCAGTGCAGGGGGAAAAATGAGACTATCAGTCAGCTTTGGACAATTCCTGCTATACGGATGATGGGAAAAGGCTACGACCAGCCATGTGCTCAGTCAAAGTAGAAAGTCCACAAATGTGCCAGTCCTCCAGTCTCCCAGAAGCAGATCCCTTTGTGTGTCTTCCATGTGGGGGATGCCGTCTTAGGCGATATGGACATGCACCAAACCCCATTCTACTAAATACTGGAGATTCACCCATGTAAAGGCATGGAAATGGGAAATAGAATGGTGATGAGTACCTTTCTCACAGTGGTTATGTGAGGCTCAAGCATATGTAAAATGTTCTGCAAACTTTAAAGCATTATATAAATAAATTATCGTCATCTTCATTATCATTATCATCTTCCTCATCATCATCATTTATCATCTCCTCCTCCTCCTCATCATTATGAATTCCTATAGAGCAGGGATTTTTTTCATTTTTCATAGCCAAAGAGACTGTTAGATATAGAAGGAATCTTAGAGTTCATCTAATCTAATTCTTTTATAGATAAATCAATGGAGAGAAGTAGAGTGAAGAGATTTGCCCAGTGTCACACAGTTAGTAGTCTTGTCACATCACAGTGTTACCTCTTTGTTACAGGGCCGTGTATACTTAAAAACTGTTGGTTGAATTAAATTAACCTTTTCTTCCCTGTCTGAGCAATGGATGGGATCCTAGACCTGCCTTTCTCTACATGTCCACTGCTGGACACCTTTTTATATAGGGCCAGAGTAAATTGAACTGTGTACCTCCCTTCTTTCATCTCCCAGTGATCTTATTCAGATGAAATCATAGGAATCATAAGAAATAGAACTGGCAAGGACCTTAAAGATTATGTGAGCCAACCCTATTATTTTATTTCTTTATTCATTCATTCATTTGTTTATTTATTTATTAAGAGGCAATCAGGGTTAAGTGACTTGCCCAGAATCACACAGGGTCAGCTAATAAGTGTATGAGGTCAGATTTGGACTCAGGTCCTCCTGACTCCAGGGCCAGTGCTCTATCCTCTGTACCACCTAGCTGCCCTCAACCCTATTATTTTATTGATGAAGAAACAGAGACCCAAAGAGGAGAATAATTTGGATAAGATCACTCATGGTATTTCATTTTCTACCTCTTATTGGATAATATGTATTCATTAGACTTTAAGCTCCATGACAGAAGGACCATGCCTTATATGAACTTTTATAGCCCCCATTCCCACCAGCTTCTACCCTCTGCACACAGAAGGCCCTTAATGAATATTTATTGAATTTTTTAAAATGACATTGTTTTATTCTTCATTGCATTTTTCATAGTCCCTCGCAAAGTGCCTTACTCATAGTAAGCACTCAGAAAATGAATGGAGGAGTAAGAAGGAAAGAAGGAAAGGTAAAAAAAATATTGGGAGGTAAACAAGTTTCACATTCCATTTAGTTGTCCTCTTTAGCCATCACTTTTCTATCTGCTCTGATGCTATACCCTCCCACCCTCCCAACCAACTAACCTCGAAGTTCATAACCTGGGAGACTTAATTCATTCAACTTTGGAGCTCTTGCCCTGGAGCTGAGGTGTCCTGATGGAGGAGTAATCACAAAATCACATAGCCCACCATATGTAGGAAGCTCCAGATCCAATCAAAATGTGTTTCATTTTCCATCCAGTTGCACTATCCCATATCCTTGTCCAAATGCTTGTCATCTAGCCTGCGACTACACATATACCTCCCTCCCCAAATTCCTCCTTCCAAGCCAATTTTTACCTCTTGCTCTGGGAAACACAATCAGATAAATGTTGCAATTCCTTCTGGAAAAAGTGAGGCAACCCACTCCCCTATAGCTCCACTTAACATGCTCAGGACTTGCCAGATTCAAAAACCCTTCCCTAATCACAACTCCCCCATTTACTTTGTCTCCCTCTACTAGAATATAAGTTTCTTGAGGGCAGGACTGTGTCACTTTTATATTTGTAATGCTAGCACTTAACATAGTGTTTATAATATACTAGGAGTTTAACAAATGCTTTCTCAGTCATTTTATTGATATTAGAGGCTGACTAGTAATGGTAATGATAAACATATTGGCTGAGGATCCTGAGCTTTGGTTTTTATGGAGATAAAGATCTATAGTGTACCCTGAAACTAGGGTAGTTTTTAGTGGGCTGCTGTAGGTGTTACATACATTATCTCACTTGATCCTCATAACAAATTGGTGAGTCACTACAAATACTGTTATACACATTTTGTTTAATTTTATGGATAAATTTTGTTTCAGTACCTCATAAAGTACCCTGTAATATTCATTATTGAATCTCCCACCAGATATTTTATGAGTATGAAAGAGCAATTGCTACTGTAACTTTATACGAACCATAGACATGATACATCTATGCCCATAACAATAACAATAACAGCTGGCAATTATATGGCACCTACTACATGCCAAGCATTTGATCTTCACAGCACCTTTAAGGTGTAGATGCTATTATTATCCATTTACAGTCAAGGAAACTGAAGCAGACAGAGGTTAAGTGACTTGTCCTTGGTCACAAAGCTTGCAAAGTATCTGAGGCTGGATTTGAACACAGGTATACCTGATTCTAGGTCTAACACTCTACTATACCACCTAACTGCCTGGTGACTCCCCCCACCCTCACCCCATCTCTCTCTCTCTGTGTCTCTCTATCTCTCTCTTCTCTCTCTCCCTCTCCCTCTCCTGTAGTTAACTCTGGTGCACAAAATACACTGCTACTATTTTCCTCTATAGCTCCTGAGCCCCCACCAGAGTGCTTTCCATTTATACAAAATCTGTCACTATGACACCATTAACTTATTACTGTTTCTATTTTTGGGACTAGGTCTTCCTAATCTTTCCCAGATTGTAAATGCAATAGTCATTCATGGGCCTGATTCCAATACTGATCAGCATGGAAGCTTCAACTTGTTTCATTTTTTCAAGCTCCACCAGTTTGCCCCTCCTTAGATAGCCTGACAGTCCTGCACTCCCTTACCTTATCAGTGCCAGATTTAGTGCAGAAACCTGCTACCAGCTCAACCTTCCCCAGTAACAGGGATTACAGGTATTTACCACCACTTCCTGATCATACACCCTTAAATAGAAAACATTCACTAAATGATAAAGCAAAAGCAATAAT